AATCTATGAAGTTGGAGGAAAAAGAGTATATCAATTCTATTCAAGAGTGTGAGGAACTGAAGGCCAGCAGTTTTTAAGCAGGAGAATTTGGAGTGATGTTACCTATGCTTAATTTGAAAGAAAGAAAGAGATGAGTAACAGTTCACACTGCTGCAATTGAAAAAGTAGAAAAAGAGGACAAAACATAATTTTTATAGAAAAGAAAATAATGTAGGGAAGTTGACAGAATTTATTAACCCTAAAGAAACTAGCTATAGTAATCTTTGAATTGCTCTGTAAAGGCTCCCAGCTAAAGCTGGCTCTTTACTACCCCTACTGTAGTGGTGGTCAAGAGTTGATTTGGGGAGGGCTAATTCTTGTTAATATGTACAAAATATGGTTATTGAAAGAAACCTCACTTGAGATGAAATCAATAAGCAGAATGCCAGCAAGTCTATTCTCAAGGAAACTGAGAGACCAGAGGCAAACTCATTTGACAAGCAGCAACAACAACAACAACAAAAAAACAGCAAAACACAAACAATGAAAAAAAAACCCACCTAAACACACTGGGTGGAAAAAAAAAAAAACAAACACCAAAAAAAAAAAAAAAAGAAACAAAACACGAAAAACACACCCCACACCAAAAAAAAAAAAAAAAAAAAACAACAACAACAAAAAAACCAACAAAAAAAAACAACTGTGAAAAGAGGAACAGCTTTGGTCCCAACAGGAAGTCTTTTGCCAAAATCCCTTAACGAGTAAAAGCAACAAATAGGTAAGACAAACTAGCAGACAAAAAGCAACCCAAAAAGCAATCTCCCAAACCAACTAGATAAATCTGAGCAATCTGGGAGTTCTAAGTGGTTGGAAGGGACAAACAGTTTTCAAGCCAACAAGTAGAAAGACATATCCCCTTAAGATGTCACTCCCTTTTCTCTCACTCCTCTACCAATATTAGAGCCCACAATAACCCCATGCATTGAAACTGTCTTTAGTTAGCAGCCTAAGTGAGAAGTTTTTAAAACAAAACACAGCAGGAGAGTAGGGAGATCTGTACTGCTTCAGCACAGAGACGGCTGCTCATTCCAGCAGGATGCATAGCAGTGTGCACGGATAGCAATATACTGGAGAGAGAGGAGTCTTTCAGTAAACATTCACACTGGTTTCTCTCACAAGTCATGGAGCTGAGGTTGCGGCACTATGCTGCAGACTTTAAAATCAGCTGCGGAGTCTAGCATGCCAGTTTTGATTTTAAGAATACATTCAAGCTATGTGGAAAATAATTTCCTACACTATCTTCTTACCGTCTGGAACAATAGATTTGAAGTTCCTAACAACAACAGACCTTTGAATCTATTGAACATAATAATAATAATAATAATGATGTCCAATAGTATATGTTGATATAGTGTTGCTTATTATTATTATTACTATTACTATTATTGTTTAGAAAACAGGCTATTTCATGCATGGTCTGAAGCATTTCATTTGGTCCTAGAAGAATGTTTTAATAAAAGCTTAAATATTCCAAGGATTAGGCTATAGCTGTCAGGGAACTTGAAAATACAAAATGTATGGATGTTTTTTGGAATCTGGTGATATGGATGTGCTGGAATTCTTTTGTGAAACCTATCTACTCTATGTGAGGAATGTGTGCATTGCACTGTATTGCAATTTATCTTCCATTATGTGCCACAGTTTTGCTTTCCTTTGTACTTTGAATCCTTACATTTAGCATAAATATTTAACACCCCCTTCTGTTGGCTTTTCTCAATCATATAAACAGAACTCAAAGTATTTATCAGTTTTATTTCATGTTTCTCCTTGACTCTTACTCCGTTTAAGTGGCAAAATCAAAAAGTGCTATTTGCGAAGGAAAAATGGAAGAGGAGAAGATCTGATAAGAAGGAATACAGATCTTCACACAGCAATGGCTCATAAGAATTCTGCCTGACAGAAGTATGACTACAGATAGATGTGTTTGTTGAAAGCAGTTCTAGAAATAATGGAAGATTGGACTTTTTATTCTCCAAGTAATGGCCTTTTATTTGTACACCAAAGTGCTGAGTATAAAAACCTATGTAGATACCATGAACTTGAAAGGCTGATAACTTGCAGATTGTCCATGAGTAGGGATTGTTATATGCAGACTTTACAGAAAAGTTGTTTCGCAGGCAGCATGCGCATAACAGCAGGTACCACATAATGCTATACTTATTCCACAGACTCTTTGCCTTGTATTCTGTAGATAATTTGCTCCACTTAGGCCACCTACCACCTATTTTACATGCTGTATAAAATAAGGAGATGACTGAGGAATAGAATTCTTACCTTTGCCATCCAAGTCAAAAGCACAGTTATCCTCTCCCAATCTCTTGATACTACGCAGAACAACAGGGTCAGACATGATGATTAGTTGCTTAAATCAGAAGTTCTGAAGAGACATGGGGGCAGGGAGGAGCATACCAGCAAATGTTTTTCTGTGAACATAAAACATTATTATATTAAACTCCTGTTTACCTCAGTTTTGCCCTCATTATCCCAAGGCAATGCTACTGATTACAGCACAGGTTATAACAGAATACATGTTCCACAGTAGAAAAACACCTCACAGAAGCATGCCCAACTCACCCCAAATGCAGGGCCTCTGAAGTGCTTCAATACCACTCATTTTTTACAAATGATTTGCTACAGAGCCAGTTCTTTTCCAATCTGTGTTTTTACAGTTGATTAATCCTGCCTGCTATTGTCCATATTTAGTAGCACCTTACATACTTCAGCGCATTTTACCTATTTGTTAAGGGGATTTCAACTCCTAGTACTGTTCTTCAGGGAACATATAGTCTGTCCTACCTCTACCTTATGATCAACTTTATTAAGGATATTCTGCACTGTATAATTCACATCATTATCAGTATTACTGGATTATATCAGAAGCAAGACAGACCTCTGCAGAACTTCTATCAATCAGTAGAGCCATTCATTTGGAAATTGGTTCATTGCTTGCTACCCTATGGGTGTAGCTTTTCTTGACTAAAAGTTTGTGATGAGCACAGCCAATTTATTCATCCACTGGTTGGTAAATTCTGACTCCCTCAAACTCTGCAACCCCCTAAATTGTAACTCAAATTCTCTTCCTAAGTATAAAGCCAAATCACCACTGCAGCAGCAAAATGTCTGGCCAGGACTAAAATGGTCACTTACAACATAAAATCATGGGTGCTTTTAATTTATGCCCTCATACAGTGAAACAAATTTACAATTTTAATCGTATTTTTCCATTCTCTGAGACAGATGATGTATGGGATGAACAAGTTATCGTACTGTATAAAGAAAGCTGAGCTAATAGATGAACTCCCAATTTTACACTGAAATTAGTGTAATTAGAAATGTCACCTTGATTATGTGTTCTGGTGCAGTCAAGAAGCAATGTTCCTACCTGTTCTGTTATCAAATCCAAACTTTAAGGGTGGTGTTGCACACACATTCCAGAGCTTTAAAATACTTTACAACTTCACAGAAGTATAACCTATTGAAATTAAGTGATGGAAACCATTTGAACCATAGCACTGAATGTGGCTCCCAGTGAAAAGCTATGAATTGGTTAAAAACCACCCCCACTGCATTTCTGCTTCAGAAAGATAATGGATAATGTCATACAGTAAGCTGATGAAGAAGGCAAAGATAAGGAAAGCAAAGTCACTCTCCATCAGCTACTTCTTATTTGACTTTGCAATCATAACATCTACACAAAATTTTGTAAATAGAACACTGTAAAAATTGATCTATCCTTTAAATGCTGGTGCAGAACATCACGCTGGGAAGCCTTATTTCAGTGTTTGCTCTGACTCTGTATTTTAACACTATGAAATATATTTTGCAACTGATTTTTTTTTAAGCCTGAATGCTGGTGCAGATTTAAATGAAAGGAAAAGTGGGGGGAAAAAAAACAATAATTGATAGACTCGAATAAGGATTCTAGTTCCAAACACTTGCTAGAACCAAACTTCCTGGAAGGATGTCAGTTGTCCAATAAAATTCTGACTGTCCCACATGTCTGAAAGAAAACACTCTTTTCCCGTATTTTCTAAGGCTCAACACATCAAATACTATTCACATACTATCCTGTCCAGCAGGCATCATTCTTTAGCTGAATTGAACAATAGTATAAGCAGATTAGCATGCTGTATTAGAATACTTAAACAGCCTTTCTCAGTGTCTGAATGTTTAACCAGGGATCACTTACAACAACTTGAAAAATACTGATGCTGATATCTTCATTAAAAATTATTTAAGTAATAGAAAGCAGAAATCATAGAAGATATTAGATAATCACATCTATGCCTGTGTGTGCAAAACATAAACTAGGAGCAGCAGAGAGTGCCCCAGAAACTGCACAAAAGTGAAAGAGTAGTAAGGTGTGGCTGCTGGATTTTTCATAAATAAACATCTTTAAGGAAATAAAATCCATATTTAAACAAGTAATACTTGGAAAATGCTAACAAAGGAACAAATCCTGTAGGATGAAGTAACATTAGGACCTGATCCAAAGCCCTTAGAAATCATTTTCAAAATGCATCTTTATTTAGATCAGATCTTCAAATAGTCCCAATCAAGTAAGAAATAAAATTAAAACCAACCAAAACCAAGCACTAACTGTGCAAAGAGAATTCAGCATTCAGTTTAATTTGTTCTGAAAGAAATACATAGGTAACCTTTCTATTGAGGAGGTTTCACCAGTTAACTCTGAAACATTAAACATGATAGATTTTTTACTCACCCGTGGCTGTGAAAAATAGTGTATCATAGAACAAACTGCAAGTATCCTGTTCAATTAGTCAGTGAAGCACCCAACAACTTCCCATCATGTTTTCATTATTCTAACCCATTTGTGAGAACTGAATCTTTAAATTGAGCATTGGCTATTTGCACCTGGGTCAATAACCATGCGGTCACAATGGTTACAGTTCATTGACATCTAATGGAGGGTTTAAATTTGACTAATGTAATCTCACAACATGAAGTCAGGGCACTTGGATATCAATCATACTCAAGGAGAACAGACGGCTCTCTGGGGTAAAAAAAGAAAACAACAAACAACTCACAATGAATATAGAGGAAGAGATTATTATAGCTTTATCACCATTAGTATACAATTACTTTATTAGCCATGCAATAATTCAATGTTCACTACTGCAGTAAATAGCAACATCAGCAGAATAATATGAAAACTGATTCAGAGATTAAGCTAAATTTGGATTAAACACTTGCTCAAAAGCTTTGTTTTCTAACCCACAGTCTGTACTTCTCCGTATGGCTTCTAATATTTTACCATTCTTCCTTCAAAATGAAGACTTTACAGCCTGGAAGCTACTGAGTAGTAGTGAATTCTTGCTGGAGAGGAGTCCTGCATGGATTTTTCAATAAAGGACATTGGTGATAATAAAGCTATGACCTCAGCCAATGTCACACAGAGTTTAGAGGGAAATGGCAAACATGGTTTAGTTCTCCTCTAAAATCAGTTCTCACTGCAGAGAGCCCTGACTGATAGGACAGGGTAGAAATGCAATGCATGAATCTCAGCGACTGTCAGCTCTGCTGAAGCCTTCTGTGCTCTCAAATTTTCCATGAAAAAGCTTCATGTGCAGCATGATTAAGTGCAGATAAACAGAACTCCATTTTCCTTGCTTAGCATCATTATGGTGTTCACAATCACAGCATAACCAAAAGCAAAGCTGGGGTCTTCTCCCATTTTCTTAACAAAAAGGCAGCTACATATATACTAATGTACACAGCACAGCTTTGAGAATAACGTTATGTGAGACAATGTCACAGTGCTAATCATCTTGTCCACCTCATCACAGAGCCAGAGGGAAAAAACAGCTTCTTATCATGCAGGGCCCAGGAGTTTAAAGGCTGGGAGAAAAAGATGGTGGAGCAGAACTCAGCTTTGCTTCATCCTCCCCTGAAAGCTTCTTCAGGAGCAACATGGCTTAAAAGTCATGCAATGCCTTTGATTTTTACGGTTCTTGATCAGAGCTCACACTTGGCACGCAAGGAAGTCCCACACCTCCAGACAAGGCTTGGCTTGCCAGAGACAGAATATCATTTTAGCATTACAGAAATTACTTCAGTCTTTTCACTCATCTAAGCATTCAGAAAGCGTGCACAGAGCCTGTTTCACCATGCTAATAAGGTAGATTAAGGCAGTGATGAGTTGGAGCTGAGACCCCCACCCTTCTGAAGGGCTCTGCTCCCTTCTAAACCTCCTTTTCTCTCAACTTATCCTTACAAAAAAAAATCCTGAAGATCAATAAATTCTGACTTGACTTTCTGACATGAGCCATAAAATTTAATCTATGCTGAAAAATCATCCATGTAGAGAAAAGTGGAGAACAAAAAGCACTCAGTTATGATCCTACTTCCCCTTTTACAGCTGCTAGTGGAAAACCTAGCCAAAACCTAACCAAATCCACCTCATTTCCTCAAGTGTAATCCTTCTGGTCCCGTGAAGGGAAAACTCGGTTTCTGTTGCGCACTCACTCACCTCCTCTCACTCACAACCTCTCGACCTCGAGTGGTTTCCTTGGATGGCACCCTGACCCAAGGGGAGTGTCCTCAACTGCACACCCACCGCTGTGAGGAGGACCGACTCAAAATGGCTGCCAGGAGAGCACCACGTAGCCCCCTCACGGTCTCAGAACCCGACTTCCTGCCCCTGCTGACCGCCACTATGCGGGGGTACAAGAGCTGTGCACAGGGGGATCTCTCCGGGCTTTTGTCTGTGGCGGGAGGCAGATCTTTCCCAGGTCTTCGGGCTTTTCTTGCCACAAACGCAAAGTGAATTTTACACTGAGCTTACGGAGTTGTGGTTTATGCTATTAAAAATACAATTATGTCAATCCGGTGAGGTGCACATGTACATTTTTCCCTTCAACAAAGCATAAATTCTGAAAAACCTGCTGTCCTTTCCAAAGATCTTCGGCAAGTATTCTACACAGAAATCTTTTCTGCACCCTCTTGTTTCCTCTTTTGTTTTTTCCTCTTTTAATGGCAGGGTTTAATCATTTTTGCTGCAAGCAAAACGATGTTCTTTGATAAGAAATAATCAAACTACGTTTCTTCATAATGAAATGGGGAATAGCAGATTCTTTCCTTACAGTGAAATAAGGAAAGTGCCTCTGGGCACAGTGGGGGTGTTTCTGTGAACATGACCTTCTCCAGGTGGGAGGCTAGCATGGTCTAAACTAAGTCCTGGTGTATCTATTTCTTGGTCACAAAAACATGCTATACTGAAACTGCAAAATACTTCCTGGAGTAGGTCTAGCAAGGAGTTTGGGAGAAGGGCAGCAAGGGACTTAACTCTATTAACTTGCTGTGTTTCTATAGTTAGCCTCTCACCATCTGCTCTTCTGGAAAGTACCAGAAGCAGGACATGCACTCACTTATCCCATTGATCCCACCCAAGTCTGGCAGCTGGTATGTTTTTTTCCGCCATTCCAAATACTTGTGGAAATAAAAATAGCAGAGATAGCAACAACAATTCTAAAAAAGAAACAAACCAAAACCCAAGAACCCTGTAAATTTTAAAGACAAACTGTAACTTTTATATCAAAATTATGTGAGCCAGCATGTTAAAATTCAAAAGTTCTGTCAAATAATACCTCTCTGAGACTGCCAGATCCCCCCTTCAGGCAACCAGCCCCTCAGTTACCTCACCTGTTCCTATTAGAAGCTGACATGTCCATGTGAGCCTGCTTCCACTCTCCCACCCACTCTCAAATGCCACCATTTGAACCCCTTTGGGGCTTCTGACCAAGTGCCTCTTATCACTCTCCACCTGGAAACTAGAGAAAAACACAGTTTTTATCTATGCGTCCTTTGGGTTTTTCCTTTTTTGGTTTGTGGCCCCTATAAAAAATTGGAGGCAGGTTTTTACATTGCAAAGTTGGGCCGCTGTGAGTAGGTGCTGAACCTGTCAGTCTCCTTGGTGGGCTGGAGTTGGAAACACAGCCTGTACAAAGCACTCTAACTGAAAACATTGTGATTTCAATACTTTATTAATTTGATATAAGGTCCCACTGATGCATTAAATATCACAAGGACCAGAAGCTAACCCATGTTTGCAGACATGCTTGCTGCCATGGCAAAACAGGCATTTTCCCTCAGACTATCTAAATCAGCTTTAATTTGTATTTACGGACCAGATTACAGATCAGACCCAAACTTTGTTTTTGTTAATTTACTAGTTATATATTATATATACTTCGTAGTTGACATCACTCTTGATGAAACACAGTTCTATCTCTTTCTCTTAAAAGGGCTTCTCTCAAACCTTCTCTGTCCCTGGGACCCTGGCTTGCCACTGTGGCCAGACCCTGCACAGACTTTAGCACACACAAGATGCAGCTATCTGGCATGGCTGGGTTCTGGGGGCAGGTAAGACATGGGAAGGCAGGAGTGGCAGGGAAACAGTGTCTCTGTGCCCAGCAGGGCAAGTCTTCATGCAGCTTCCAGGAGCAAACCTGGCTCTGAGGTGTAACAGCCAGGGACTGCCCAGGCTGATAGTCAGCTGCAGGCAAAGGCAGGCTGTGACAGAATATGGCAACTCCAAGCAGAGCAAGGGATATCACGAATAGAATGGTAATTTTAATAACCTTTGCAAGAGAAGGAAAGCTAGCTGCTGTGCTGGGTCTGCTATATATGCATACACATGCTGAAAGAATAATTTCTTTGTCTTAAAGGAACTTTGAAAGGCTACACAGGGAAGGCAGTTATGATCACTTCTTCATACTTTCTTCACTACTGATGCCGCAGGGGAAGCAAAGCAGCAAAAAAACAGCATCCCTGCACTGCAACTTTTCCAACACCCTGCATAACTTCCAGCCAGCACAAGAAGTTGCATTTTACCAGCATACATATTTATGTAAATGAGCACCACAAGCAGCCATGGGCTTGCAATAATAATGGAGACGTATTGAACCTTTCATGTCAGAGCAGAAAGCAGTTCTGCATGCAGAAAATAAATGCAGTGCTCCTGTTCCCATTATGATGCTTAAAATCATGTCAGGTGTTTGCAGTTGTTTATATTAGGTTCAGCCAGAGGAGAATTTGGCCATAGTAAATGCAACTTCATCTGCCCTGCAGAGATGGATTGTCTGTAGGCACAGACAATCTCTAAAAAGATCTGTACTCCTTTATGTCTATTTAGAATTAAGTTTTTAGTCAATTGCATTAGGCATCTCCTGTTTTCCAGGCCACAAGCACTCATCAAATATAACTGAATTGTTTTCTCTGAGCAGAATTTCATTCATCATCAATAGTCACTTGTAAGTTCACTATGAAGTCAACTGGAGTATAATTCCTAGATATGAAGGGTCTTCCCAAACATACGTTGGAGTATTGATGTTTTCACATATTTTCATTTCAGAAGATCATCTCCAGAAGACTTCAGTAAAATGCTTTCCTATGCCTTATTCTTTCTTGGCATAGTCTTTCTGTGGTGGCATTGGGGGGCAATAGACAGGATGATTACAAGTATTAATCACTGGATGTGACACAGTATTTGGAAATACGGCAGCAAAGATTTTTAATAAAGAGGGATTCCATGTTTTTTGCCATCTGACTGAAACAAGAGCAAAGGAGTTAAAAGCTGTGGCCTCAAAGCAGCTTCAAACAGTGCTGCTAGATGTGAGAGATTTAGTGTTAAAAACGTGGGTGCATGGGTCAAAGATGAAGTTCAGCCAGAAGGTGAGTCCCGGGATATCTGTCTTAAAAGAAAAAACAAGAGTTTTCCTAAAAATACCATGCTACATTCACAGCTTATTATAATTGACATTTGACAAGAGCATGTGGATGTCTTGTCACCTTCCAGAAACATGGAAGAAGATCTCACTAGAGGGGTGTTTTATACATCTAGTTAGAAGTAGGTAAATATTTGGGAATGTACTCAAAAAGTCAGGCTTATTGATACATCCCTGTCAGAATAGCAAAGCAGTTCCTGGAACCTTAATTGGGACTGTTTGCACTCACATGCTTATCTGGGTTATGGCACAAGTGCTCAGCACCTCCCTTGCTGTGTTATCCAGCTAGGGAGCAAATTAAATAGTTTAGAGTTCATATATTTAAAAATGAATACATTTAATAAATCACTTGTAAGTAATTACCCATTCTATCAAAAGCAAAAATTACATATGAACTCTGTTGAATAAATCTGAATATAACTATTTTGGAATATTGCTTGCAGACCATCTGAAAATAGAAATATCCTATATCTCTGATTTGTGCAAGACAAGATGCTGCTGCTGTTACTGATGCTAACTGATTTCAGCAGGAGTGGTATTGCAGCAGAGTTTACAAAGGCCCAGGATCCTAGGGGCTGGATTCTGCTGTATTTGAGTCTTGAATCTGATGTATTAGGATATGCCATAGTACCAATTACCTTACTGCTAAATTCCAATCTCAGTTTGACCTTTCATCTCTTCATAAAATGACTTATAACTTGCCAAATTGCTTTGATTTGAAACTGTGCTTGGTTTCAGGCCAAAACTCCTCCCCCCCCCCCCCCCCCCAGGAAAACTACGAGTAAGGTCAGACCATCAAAATTATTCATTCAATATTCATTCACACAACTCTAATAGCTGATACAAGAGAAGAACCATTTTTACATTTCTGTATTTTCTGCTCCCACTTGTGAGGGCTCAGAAATGTTTTTCATATCAACCTGGTGATTTTTCCTTGCCTCCACCTCATGCTGGGACATGTCAGTCAGTGTGAGGTGCTGTTCTCTGCTACCACAAAGATGTCACTGTAGGGGGGAAACTGTCAGACAGTTTTCAAACCTCTGAGAAAGAGTTCTTAAATTTTTTGTTACCAAGGGCTGGTCCTTATTGTCATGGCAGCTCACCCACTCCAGCAGTTATACAAGACTTTCTACTGCTGCGGAACAGAGTAATGCTTGCAGTTTCCCATTCAAAGTAAGTATTTGCCAGTATCTCCCCCATCAGAGACAAGGCTGATTCCATAAGATCTGTCCTTTATATTGGCATGAGACAAACTACACATGAAATACACACACATTCCCTGCAAATGTAAGAAATATATCTATTTCTCCAATACGTGCCATTATTAATACATTATTTCATTTTTTAATGTCCAAACCTGAAAGAACAAAGGAACTACTGAACCAATTTTTCAGTTCTTTCACCTTGAAGGTACTCAATTTTAGAACCACTGAAGGCTCCAGTTTTCACAAAGAACCACAACACAAAAATATCCTAGAAAAATAGGGAATATGGCTTTAAGACTCTATTGCAGGAAGAGTTCACTGTCTCAGGCAAAGGAGGGAATGGCAGCAGGGCCCTCCTCTGGGAGGATTGAACTCTAGCAATATGAACTGGGAAGGAGGACAGAAAATCCTCTTCCTGATACTGCTTTCTTTAGCAGTCACCCCTTTTCAGCACTGAGGCCAAGGAAACTGTGGTTGCCTTTCCTTGGTTCAGTCCTAACTAAGGAGAAAACAAAATAAAGTGCCCAAGTTGAGGATCTGGCTGGGATTCACACCCCTTCCTGCTCAGAGAGATTTGCAAGGCTTAGGTGAGGCATTTTCCTGGTCAACATGCTACATCTTGAGGCTCGATAAAGTCCATCTGTACTCGTCTGTTGTAAAGGATCCCTAGGTGGGAGGAGAGAATGGAGTGTTAATTGAAATAAATAAATCTGAGATTCCAAGACTTCAAGTCTGGAAGCTATTTCTTGGAGTAAAAATGATAGCCCTGTGTTTTGTGAGTTGCTGAGTAATTCCTGTGGAGAGGTGCTGCTTTGGTTCAATTCCTGACACAAATGCATGTTCAGACCTGGCTCCACTGGAATTAATCATGGCAAGGTGCTTGAGAACTGCAGAGACCCCACGTCAAGTCTGTAACTGCACATTGCTCAGGATGCCATTTCCCACTGCCATGGAAACTACTCAGCAGTGAAATAAATGCTTTCCTCATGCTGGTGAACTTGCTGTGACATGATTGAGTTAAAGAGCAAGTTACCTGGTGGCTATCCAGGTGTTGGTTTTCAATTTAGTTTCTTTGGAGCAAAGCATCAATTCTACTTTCTCAGTGTAGCTTATGCTTAGGCTTCAGTGGGGTCATTAAATTTATATCTCTTATCTGAAAAAGTTATTTCTTCTAGAGCAGGTTTGAGGTGAATACCTCTCAAATGGCTACTCTTACTAAAATATTGATGGCATTGATGTAGTAGATTTTGTCTTTAGATCAACTTTCTGTTAATGAAAGTGATAGAAAACCAAGTTTACTTTATCTAACATGTAACCTCTGTGTGTGGCAGTCTGGTGAGCTATAGCTTCCCTGTTCCAATTGTTAGCTTTCCAGGCAAGACATCACTCCACCCTGCTGAACAGGCAGATTTGGGCTCTAGAGATGTGAATCTTGTCCTCTGAACTTAGCAGACAACCCTGGTGTCATTTCACACAGACAGCTGCAGCTTTGGGGTTTTGTTTCCCCCCATCAAGATTACACAGCCAAAAGTGATTAAGAAAACAAACGAAGTATGAAATTGCACCGCTTATTCTGATCTTTATCTTTAGAAATTACAGTTTGACTGGTTTAATTTAGTCCCTGTCAGACCACAAGTATACCACCAGCTGCTGCAAGACCCTAGCACTGTGAAGGTTAGCATTTAAAGGAAAATACAAGCAGAATTTGGGACAGGGCACTAATTTTAAGTATATTACTTAAATTAGAAATGCAGGGAAATAAAATGTCTACAGTTGAAAAATATGCTCCATGTATTACTTCTTGCCCTATGGAAGGCCAGATTCTGCTGCCATTTTCTCTCCTGGGACCCAGATACCTCATTTGCTCAAATGTCAGCAACAAAAGCCAGTGACTTCCGGAAATGAGTAAACCACACTGCTATGGCTATCAAAACCTGTCCTGCTCACAAGACTGTATGAGGCAGCTGAATATTTAGACATACATTTTCAGGAACTTGCTGAGAAGAAGACCCATGACATCCGCAAGGTCAGAACATCCTGAGGACTGAGCCCCCAGGACCTGGTTTCTGTTTCTTGTTAAAGCCAGCACACAAAGATGTGCTTCAAAACCTTCACTTGTCCGACAGGAATAATGTTACCTTCTTGCCTTTCACTTGAGAATCAAATTTCCTTCCCCAGTGTTATGCTTCAAGCAGGGTAATTTTTCCTTATCCTTTCTAGAAGCCAGGGATCTCATTACAAAATACACTTAAGGAGTCAATGGGAAATCAGACAGTCAAGTGCTGCTTTCTGCAGATGGAAGACTGTCTCATGCCAACACCTCTAATGGAAAGCTACATATGGAGCTTACATTTTGCTTATATGGCTTCTCTTCAGTTAAGCTCCTTCACATGCTGTGCTCTGAAAAAGCCAAAGGATCCTCTGTGAGAAAGGGAACTTATTGGAAAAAATCCCCATTTCGATGTTTTCCAAGATGCTAAGCAGGATTTCTTCAGCTTTCTGAAATTATTTTCTTTAGTTGAAAAGCAGTTTGCTGAGAAAAAATCAGGAGTAGAGAAACTCCTTTTAGGCTTTCTTCTCATACATTTCTATCGCAAAGGACTGTTACCTACATCAGCAGGACTCTTGACCTGACACTGCCAGAGAAATGCTCCTTTACAATAGGCTTTGCATGCTGGTGGAGTGCTGTTTTGTGGTCATTTTGACAACACTGCAGAACCTGCCATTAGAATCAAGCCATGCAGGACTAGGTAGGCCCAGCAGGCACATGTACCGGGCTTGTGCTGGAGAGGAAAGCTGTCAGCCACCTGTTGAATCCCCAAGTTTCCAGCAAGCTGTATATCTCTCCTAACTACCCTGAGAGTGCTAAAAGCGCAATAACAACTAACACTGCCACTCAGGCTGGTGTGGCACTCAGAGTGGCAAAGAGGCAAGAATTTCCAGGCCAAAACCAAAATGAGCAGGGAGAGAAACTGAAGGGAGAAGAGATGCCTATCAAGCAGAGGATGAACTCAGCAGCTCCTGGAAAGTGTCACTGGCCACTCTGGGACTGGCCGCTATTGCCCTGGTCTACTCAACTTAACAGGGCCACTTCCAGCATAACATTACTTCGTTTTCCTAGTCCAAAATTCCTTCTCATTTAATTAGTCCTAAATCCATTTTCATAAAATGCTTATTCATTCATTCTGCTGTTGAGAATGGTTTTTGCCCATGCCCCCTCACTTCCTGCAGCATCAGGCACTACCGTGCTCTGTGAATGGGGAGGCATGACGAGCGGGGAAAAGAAGCTCTGCGTGTATGGTTAAGTAACAGCACCCAGAGCTGATCAGAAGTGCCCAGCAGACCCTGAACCAGGAAACAAACAAGCAGTCTAGCAATTGTATGCTAGTGTCTTTTCCCATGCAAACTGTAGAGATTCTGTTTACACAGTTTATAGAATTTGAGCTTTTATTTGAAAAACATAGCTTAGTTACTCTGACGATTGATTTGTTTCTGGTATCAAAAAGCTGCCCTTAGACTAAAAAAAATAATTTCAACACTGAAAATTTTCATACAGAAGGATGATTAAGTTATATCAGTAATAACTCGCTCACATGCATGAGAAAAGGTGGAGGTCTGAACCAAGCTCTGTTAAATTAATGGAAAGACTCCTGCTGGTTTCAAGACAAAGCACAGATCAGTCCTTCCCAGCTGAGTAGATCAGCTCTCCCTAATGAGTCTTGACATTCCTCTGTAGATTAGTTGACACTCTGTAGATTACTAAATATAGCCAGCAATGCTTATACAACCTAGGCAGGATAGGCAGGCATAGAGGATA